TATCTTTTCATAGTAAACTAATATCGAAACTGTTCCGCTTTTATTAAACTGGTTTCAAATCTGGTCCGATTCATAACATTTTCCTTCATTTTTTTGGTTAAAAAGATGTGTAAATTCTTTTAAAAGGTTGAACCCTACTGGACGTCCAGGGTGCCATGTGGCCCTGGACAAGTATCTTTATCCTAAAAGCTTTAAGTCAACATATCCACGTGTATGCAATTAGCTTATGTCTAAATCTGAATGGGTATTGAATAGAGAGTTGTGCAAACGGTAATTGAACGTATGGTATCTTCTAGGAAAATCATGTATTCCTATCAAGTTGTTGAATGAGACATCAATACCTAATGCCTTTGATATTTCACTCAAAATCTACACTAGATTTCTGGACTTGGTCAACCATTGAGTTTATGTAGATCTAAGATGAAATGCATGAAATGTGACAAGGACATAATGCACAAGAGTACAGCGGATTGGACTGTATACACAAGTGTCTACAGATATTATGTGATTGGAAGAATGAAGATACCAAGTTGCTCCTTTAAAATGGAAGTTTTACAGGGTGAATATTAAACAAGCTCTTCTTTATGATATTGATTATTAAGCAATTAACTAATAAAATAAGTAATGCTATTTGCAGTCGCTCGGCATACACATGATAGGTGGTTATTTGATACATTAATGTGGTAGTTTTTTTATTCATTAATGTATCAACTAACCACCTGCCATGTATATGTCACGTAGGACGACTGTCGCAGTGAGCGATTGCAAATAGCATTATTCTAATAAAATGCTCATATTTAGTGAGGGTGCCAAATAAACTTTGAAGTGAAGTCCAAGATCACACCCCAGTTGCCATTTGGTTTTTGTCTTTGGACTATGCAGGAGTTCCATTGCATTTCTCGCTTTTGTCGTGTATGAGAAAAAGGAAGATGAGATAGATAAGTTGGTCCTAAAAATCCTTCACATGGTTGCAAATTGAAGTCCTTCAATTCTGGAAAAACTTCAAGACTTAAAGAAAATACAATTATTGTTAAATTGGCACGGGGAGCTGTGAATCTACATGTACAATCTAGTTTGACAAATTTGGTTGACAACTCACATTTAGCAACATCTTATTCATCCATTTCAAAAATTATTTTCTAAATCAATAGCTCGAATTTTGACAACACCAACATTGTCATCCATTAATTGTCAAGAGCATGATTGTACAAAATAGATTAATTCTATCGTGATTAGTCCTTTTTTGTGCCGCTTCAAAAAGAAGACATTGAATGTACTCTTCTTTAGGGGGGATGAGTATTGGGATATAATGATTTTGTTATTTCGTGGTAGGGCCTGTTGGAATTTAAGGGTATATAAAAAGTTCAAAATGCTTGTTGGAATTTAAGGGTATATAAAAGTTCAAAATGGGTAAATTGGAATAAGTCTTCAATAAGTGTAACAAGTGGTTGCGACTCTTCAACTGCAAAATGTGCACAATGAAAAGTCATGACCTTTTATTAAGGTGTAACCTAGACCATTAATTATAAAATTTGCGATCTAACGGTTAACATCAATTTTGCCAAAAGATGCATCCGGTAGGAAGTAACACATGAAAATCTATAAGTAGAACCCTCTTAATTCTGTTTTCTTCTCTCCAAATTAATGATTGATTTTTATTCTTTATTTCTTCAAATTCTATCAAAATAATTTCCATATTATTTTTGAGTTTCGTGTTCAATATTTAGTATTCAATCTTTTCCATTCTAGAAGAATATAGTCAAAAGTTGGTTCACATGGCAAAATTAATATTTTGGAAGAAACGTTGTATGTTGGGAGGCGGACACTAATTTACTCCAGTAAGCACCGGTTTAGGGGTGAAATCCGCCTTATGGAGATTTGCATTCGCATATCTCACTTCATTCATCTCCTTATTATTTTTACGTGTCAGCCAAGTCTTGGTTTTGCTTAACTTTTATGCGCATACCATGGTTTCGGTAAGTCGTTACTCTATCTGTATTTGCATGCACTTATTTTTGGTTAAATGAATATAATTAATGCACAATATATCCAACGGGGCCCACATTGTGGGACTTGACATTTGTTTTTTGGCATTTCGACTTGACTGAATGTCCATTTTGTGTTCATTCAGTCTCTATTTGAAAAATTAGTTTTTTAAGTTCTCGTTTTATATTTCAGTCTATTGTGAAGGGCTTATATAAAATTCTATGCTCTTATTCTTCTTTTGATTGTTTGTGTTGACTTCTCACAAGATTATGGAAGTATTGATGATTCTCTCCTAAATAAATAAATTCGTCTCTCTTTATTGACTTAATCTTTTATACCAAGTCGCTTTTAATTTTTTCTGTGGCACGATCTGACCTTCATGAAAGGAATTATCGCATGTACGCGTGTTTTGCATTATCAAGTCACGACACAAGCTTTACAATTGATTTTGCATTATGATAAAGTCAAGACTGGATGATTTAATTTCACTTCATTAACAAGTCAAAAGAAGAAGACACAAGGGAGTTCTTAAATTTCATTTAATTGTTTTTATTAATTTTGCGAAATTGAAAATAGTGAATTGTTTGACTCATGGTATGGGGGCCTGTGAATGTTTTCCTTTAAGATTTACCACGTTACATCTGATGTTCAAGTTTTTAACTCATAGTTAATTTTTGTAAGTAATTGAAACTGTTCGACCACAGATTCAATATGCATTTTGAAGTCAAAATTGTTTAAAAATTGATCATACGATGTTCTAACTGTCTGCTGTCAATTGTTTTGATAATAATTAAAACGAATTTTTAATTTATCTATACATTAAAATTTATAATATTTTCTTCCCAAGTAGATGATGGTTTAAAAAAACATTGAGCATCTAGGGACGGGAATGTGGGGAGTTTGAGGAGGGGTCAGTCATTCCCGTCCTCCATCTTGTCGGGTATTTTTGTTATCTTCCTCCCCCCTCATACTCGATTAAAGTGGATAGGACTGGTATGGGACGAAATCGAGTTGGACAGGGTAGGTCTCATGCCCCATTTATCATTCCATTTTATTTTTTATTTTTACGTTTTATGTTTTATATCTTTAGTTAGTGAATATAATATTACTTTTTTTCCCCCAATTTTTAAAGAACACCTTATGCTCTTTTTTAAAAATGATGATAAATCTTTTCTTTTCGTTTAATTAAAACTTTAAATTTCAAATTAACTTTAAAAGGGACGGGTAGTGGGACATGGACCATGTTTTCCATACCCGTTTCGAGACAATGACCACCATCCCGTTTATCCGATTGGGTCGGTAATCCTTGCCCCCATTCGGAGTGGGGCTTGTGGGTATTGGGTTGGACATGTTTTTTTGTCATCCCTAATCATATCCTCAATTCGGCTCCTTAACGAAATAAGAAATGATCAAAATCCTAGACACACAAATGGATCAGCGACATTAGAGTAACAAACAAATAAGGTTACAAAATAAATAGCCAAAAATGATATATCCGCCTTTGTTTTGTGAGAGAAATGGAGGTTAGAGAGCACACATATTTTTCTTGTCAAAAATATATAATTATCTTCCAATTCCAAAAAATCAAGGACCTTGTAGAGTTTCTCCAAGAGAGCATAGAAAGCAAAAAACCAGAAGAAATGGCGACAGTTTAGGTCAGAAATGAAACTGAAGTCTCTTTAACTTTTTATACTGTCTTCGAAACGACGCTCTTTAGGGGTGAAATAAAATAAAAAATAAAAGTAAAATGTTACATGGAAGATTGAACTCATCTCAACTATTTATTGGAAGATTTTCTGAATAGCTAAACTGGCAAGAACACTGGAGTGCCTTGAAATGGTCATTAAGATATCTTAAAGGCACATCAAACTTAGGTTTAATGTTTAAATTGAGAAAATGTGGTGCGACTTTAAAGGGATATTCAAATTTTTGCTGGAGATAAGGATAATAGGAGATCAATTTCATCATATTTTTATACCTTATGTAGAATTGTTGTAAGTTGAAAATCTCAACTTCAAAATGTTGCTGCACTATCTTCCACAGAAGCAGAGTATGTTGCTGCACTGATGCAATAAAAGAGGGAATTTGGTTAAGTGGTTCGTTATCTGCACCTGGATTTGTTGATGATCATTTTTATGTAGCAAGTCGTAGTTTTGCTTAACTTTTATGCACATACGATGGTTTTGGTAAGTCTTTACCCTATCTGTTTCTGCATGCACTTGTTTTTGATTAAATAAATATAATTTATGTACAATTTAACCCACGTGGTCCACATTGTGGGACTTAACATTCTTTGCACTTGGTTTTTGGCATTTCTGCATGAAAGATGTCCATCTTGTGTTCATTCAGTCACAATTTGAAAAATTAATTTTTTAGTTCTCGTTTGATGTTTCAGTCTATTGTGAAGGGCTTATATAAAATTATACACTCTTATTCTTCTTTTGATTGTTTGTGTTGACCTCTCACAAGATTATGAAAGTATTGATGATTCCCTCCTAAATAAATAAATTCGCCCCTCTTTATTGGCTTAATCTTTTAGACTACGAGTTCGTTTGGTATAATTTTTGAAAAGTCAAAAGGAGCTTTTGAGGTTCAAAAGCTGCAATTTTGGTGGTTTGAAGAGTTTTAGAGGAAGCTGATTCAATGTGACTTCCTTTAAAAGCACTTCTGGAATAAAAAATGCTTTTAAATGTTAGTTTTCAAACAAAAGTTTAAAATAGCTTCTTTCAAAAGCTCTTTTACAAAAAGCAAAAGCTATGCCAAACGGACATAGTTCTTTCTGTGGCACAATATGACCTTCATGAAAGGAATTACTATCTTTCCCCATTATTATGCGCAAAAACTTCTTTGATGATCAAATTAGATTGTGGGACATGGTGTTAACAGGCCACCCCGATTCAAATAACACAACTTATGCCATCGGCCTAGGCTGAAATATTTTTGTTCAATATCATAGTATAGTAACACTTTGAAAAAAAAAAAAAATTGAAAAACAAAAATCCCTTCCAAAAGCATTTTTTCAAAATAAATTCATTCGTTGAAAAACTATTCCTCAATACATGCTTAATTTAAATATAGATGAACTTTAAGTCTTATACTTAAAAATATACCAATTAGTGAGATATGACAACTCAAACAATATCGACTCTTCACACTCTATGTTAAATATCAAAATTCCAAGAGATAAAAGAAAAATACATGAACAAGTAATTAAATCAAAATCAAGTCATGAAATCAATTCCTATTTAATGAAGTAAGTAAAATAATAAAATAAAATAAAAACCTAATTGATTATTAGGTCAGGGATTGTGTATTACACGGTCAGCCCTCTTCCTCTCCGTCTGGGGGTGATGGACCAGCTTGAATATCTTCACCAGGATATGCAAAAAAAACATTGTTCCACTCTGATGTTGAATTATCCTGCAAAATAAATTGTTCAACATTGATGGAATGGGAAAAGAATCAAATGATCATAAACAATGAGAATTTTGCATTTATAATAAAAAGGAAAGAATTTTTACCTTCATTGATTGTATTATATCCTCGAGAGCAAAAACCTATCATTCAATAACTTTGAAAATGTTACTAGGAGCATGATAATGGCACACAATGCCATGATTTGAGTTAAAAATAAAAAATAAAATTATTCAAACATAAAGAAAATGAAGGACCTTTATGTGTGCCTCTATGTCAATAAGTTTTGACTTCTCGCCATGACTTGCAGCTCTTGCTTTTACATAGGACTTTTCTAGATCCTCCTATACAAAGAGAATATAGATCATTTGTTGAATTAATTAAAAAAAAAAAAAATAGGGTTTTTAAATTTGTTTTCCACACCTTTTTGAAGAAAACCGGGCGTCTTTGATTTAGGCACCCTTCGTCTGTGAGACGCAAATAATGATCGCATAAACTCAAATTACTCAACTGAAACTCATTAAGCAATGTCAATGTTTCTTCCTCAAAGAAATAAATATATAAATAAAAAATAAATGACATAAATATAAATGGAGCTTATGAATTAGTAACACAAACCTCAAAAACTGGAATACCAGAAAATGTTTCATCTTGATAACCATTTTTCATTTTAACCTACAGAAAAGTAGCATCGAATATATTTCTTTAGTGGTTGATTTACAATTAGATGTTTTGTAGGTTATGGATTATCGCATGTACAATTATTCGAACAACCCTGTAACATGTACATTTTGGTTGACGATTTTATTTACTGTCATAGTTTGGCCATTGATTTAAATAACCTTATTTCAATCAATGATCAAACTGTAGATTGTCTTGCTAGTTATACAAATGTTATTCAAATCAATGGCCAAACTTTTTACACATCATCGAGATTATCAAACCAGTTGCAGAAAATGAATGTACAACTAGTTTAATCCTTATTGGAATAGTTTAGACCATCTTATTATTTATTTATTCGGTAATAAAATCTGCATAAATTGGTATTATCACCTGTAAAGCGTTTTTCACTTCATATGCCTCTGGTATTAACATGACTGGCCCATCTTCTATATGATACTCCAAAACCTACACAATACATGTAAAAACAGACGTTAAAAAAATCATATACACATAAAATAAGTTGTTTCTTTGAAAAAATTATATACACATAAAAAAGTTGTTTCTTGAAGATTTACATCATCAAGTGCTTCGGAAACTACGAAGTTTTCCCTTGAAGGAGTTGAAGACCTCTTCATATATTCCGCAAAACCCATAGCATCTGCTTTACTAAAGAAATACCCTAGAATTGATTTTCTTTGATCCATGGGTAAAATCTTAATAGGTTCATCACAAGAAACTTTGACACCATAAACAGGTGTCATACTCAATTGGTCTCCAATTTCCTGATTAGACATGGCAAGATTCTTTCTTTTATTAAGGTTGAAGAGATTCTGGGGTTTCTGGAGGAAGCTGGAGACGTGGGATTGCAGTGTGTGGAAGGCTTCATGGAGGCGGAGGTGCGGCGGCCATGATGGCGAAGGTGGCTGCACCTGTTTTGGTTTCCACCGATTTACATTTTCTGCTGAACGGTTGGGAAATTCTTTCCCGGGTAGTTGAGGAGGAATAATGTTAAATTTCAACATTGCTTCAGGATGCAAATAATAATCAATGAGCCCCTACAATAATATAAGATTTTATTCTAAACGATATCAGTTCACGATTTTATTAATGCATGGAAAGTTTGTATTAAAGTATACTATTTCCTTAAGAGTTTGTATTAAAATATACTACTTTAATTAGCTAAGAGTTTGCTCTAAAGAATTCCTTAAGTTAGAGGAGTGTTGCTAGGATTTTCCATTTCCCTTTACAATAAATTATTGTAGTTATTGTCTTATAATTTTCGAGGCGGTAAGTTTATTATTTGCGATTTTGTAGCTTGCAATTTTCCAAGATCAAAAACATGGTAGGTTTCTTGCATAACTTAAAACCTATATTGTCTAATCTTATAGTACCATAATGATTTTTTGATAATGTGTTTGGAAGCCGCTATTTATATCTACGATTGTTATATATATGTTCTTATTAAAATATTAAAAAAATTACTATTTTCGTCCACATCATGTTCCAATTTTGTCCTTATTAAATTTATTCATTTAAATGCCGTAAATTCACACAAATTTTATATATTCACCACACTCAAAATACGTCCTTAATACAATTTCAAAATTTTAAAAAATCATTATATTCATACTCATTATAGATAACATCAACCTTCTTACAATTTAATAATTAATTCTGCTAACCAAATATTATAAGATGGGATTATATGAACCATAAAATCCTACAATCACCGCCATTTTCAATATGACACGGACCCTATACAAAAAATTATACAATCCATTTTATGAAAAATTAGCAGCTTTTTTTTTTTTTTTTTAAAGAAGTAATTACCAGATTTTAAATTGTACATAATAAAATAAATTAAAATAAAAGTTAATTGAAGGTAAAGAGCAGAAGGAATTAGACAATAATATTACCATTTCTACATCTCTAATTGAGTTACCTCCAATAAAATTACCAATAAATAGAAAATAAAGACGACCAGAAAATTTTAGTTGCTAAATATATTTGCACAAACCTTCTATGAGGAAAAAATAATAAATAAATAAATAAATAATTAGAAATGCGTGGTGGATAGATGGATAGGACTCGTGGATAGTTGGAATGTATGATTGAAAATGAAGTTTGAATATTTATAGCTTATTTATAAATTTTGACAAACGGATGCTTAATCATGAAATGCTTCATTATGTAAAATCATCACAAAAGATAGAATGCTTTGCATTCCAAGTGAAATGCAAAAGATTGAGATTCCCTAAGTAACTTAGTGATTGCTTTCTAAGAAGGAAATGAATTCTATTGTGCTGTCCTTTTATGATAGCAAACAGAGATAAAAAAATAAAAATAAATAAATAAATAATAATAATAATAATAATAATAATAATAATAATAATAATAAAATAAGAATCCCTTATTAACATAGTCATGGAAAACGGTGGAGAAAATTTGGTGTTTCAAAACTTGAGTACTTCGATAATAAAATCATGCAAGTATAAATACGGTTCTTTCTTATCTTCTGCTAATCCTAAAGTAAAAGTTAATGGTACCTTTACGAATTCATGACTGTAGTCATGCTCATGAGTTGCAGATCTGATGGCATTCAATGATTTTTTTTATTTTTTTTTTTTTTTTTTTTTTTTTGACTGTCCTTGATTTCGGATTGATATTATTATATGATTCTTGGTATATACTTAATATCGTATCTTATTGGCCTTACTCTAAAATCTTTTGCATGGAAACCATCCTTTACAAATTTTATTCTCATCCATTAGATAAATAGAAAATGGTCTGCATTTAGACCTACTTGTCGCTCCAACCTAATTCCAACAATGCATTCCTCAGGCTGAGGAAGTGGGAGCAGTAGGTAAGGATGATAGGATTTGAACACGTGACATTTTGTACCCAAAACAAACGCGCTACCAATTTGCGCCACATTCCTTCAAGAACCTTATCAAGGCTTGACACGTGGATGTGTAGATATATAAAAGCTGTGTGGATAGAAATTTTAAATGAATGGGATAGATATGTAAAATTGGTGTCGACGTATAGTGTTTAAATGAATGAACGAATTTAATTAAGAACAATATTGGAATTAATGTGGATGTGAATAGTATATATTTGTCTCAAATTTTAAAGTTCCAATAGGGATAGATATAGAATGAATACATATATATAAGTATATAACTTTTGTGGATGTAAATAGTGGCACCTTTTTATTATTCTTCGTACCGTCTTTTAAAAAATTATTCTTTTATTAAAAAACTGCAGAGCCTCCTTGAGAGGATATAAGTTAAAGTATAGTACTCGAAAAACTATGATGCATGTCCATATTCTAAATATTTTGGCATTTTTTTTTTATCATTTTATGATCGCTTTGTATTTCTTAAAATTCATGTCAGTTATTATGGAACGAATCATCCAATTGCCAATAAATAAACGAAAATCAAAATTGTTTAAGTTATCGAAAAGTGGCCAAAAAGAAACCTAAAACACCATTGACTATAATATTAGATTCATCTCGTCATCAATGTTTCATGTCACTTGTATGAATTGAAAATGATTTTTCTTGTTTTTTAAATTATTGAACTGCAAAAAATCATCCCAATTGGTTCTCAAAAAATCAACCTTCGATAAGTAAAAATCCATACTACTTTTATCATATTAAATATCAAAATACCAAGTTTGACACGACAAAATTTGTATGTAACACTTCTTTTCACTGTCGAATGACTTTGGACATAATGCATCATACAAGTAGGTTCCTACCTGAGCAACATAACTACATGTTACTGTTGCAAATTACATAAAATTATTTTGTGCATAAAGTTCGGCATGCTCAAGTACCCTAAACAATAAAAGAGAAAAAGAAAAGGAGCAATGCACATCTTTGGTAATTAAAAACTAATTTTTGAGAAAAGTAGCAACGAGTTTTAGTTATTGACATATTGACCCTGTTAACTTCCCTTAACCCCAGTGAAACAGCAAACTTATAGTGAGACTGCATATTTACATCAGTAGCACATAATTGATCAACTTTGTAAGAAACTATGACTTTCTTAATGACAATGGTGTCCATTCTTTTCAAACTCTTTTTTTTTTTATAAGATAATTTTCAACTACACATTTATGCAATAAATATTTTGTACGTCAATCCAAAATTTTTCTCCTACTTTTTAACCACACATTATCGTAAGATACTATTCAAAATTCTTTGTATTTTTAAAGTTTTGGAGGATTGCACTTGTGTTTTAGTGTTAAATCTTTTACAAGGCTTGATATAATCCTACAAACCGTTTGCGAAAACCCTTAAACATCTCATTCAATCCTGAGAGGGGACAAATGTCGTTTGAGGACAGCGATCCCGTGTTCGAGCCTTCAAATTTGTTCTTAACAACTTTTTGATTTTTCCATCTTGTTGCTGTACTTTTGTTATCCCTTTTTGTTTCTTCTCCAAACCCCTATTGTTTCCAACACATTATTGTAAGATACTATTCAAAACTCTTTTTTTTTTTTTTTTGGGGAAAAGAATGGACACAAAACAAGAGCTTCTTTAATTTGCACGTAATATTATTTGCAATGTAAGATGTCCGAAAATCAGAATATGTTTGATCCAACAGGAGCAGTTTAATCCACTCACTGTAGCTGGCCTTGGCTAAGCTATGATGGCATACAAATACTCCATGCAAAGAAACAAGATCAGCTCAAGTGACGATGCACTGGTCTTTCAAAAAAATAACACTAATTTTACCATATGCACTTTATCAGATTTAAGTCCAGAGGTAACCCGACTTGTTTTTTCGCAGGCACCTCCATGACTTGAATTTGGAGCAAACTCAGGAGCTCTAACATTGATAATGTAAGAGACGATATTATCATTACACAATTTCATGTTCTCATAAAAGTAATTCATGGATTCATGAACCAATAAAAATATTGTACATTTCTATATAATGCATACTTTGAAGCCGCCTCCTTTTCTTGGGCATCAGTTGTTGGTTATTTGATTTAGCCCCGTTTGACCCCTTTTTCTCTCAATTTTTTCTTCTCACACTTATTTTAAATCACACAATCTTCCATAAATTAATATTATACGAGAATCGAAAACTTTTCTTATTTTTTCAACCATACATTCTCCAAAAAATATTATTCCATACGTTAAAAATTGAAAGAAACGGGGGCAAACGGAGGCTTAGAGAAAATTAATTTTCCTTTGAAAATTAAATCCAAGTGAATAATGGATCTTAGAAACTTTGAGGTTATTAGATTTTGTTTTAAATCCTCACACATAAGGGTGAGATGATAATCTTGAAAGAGCTTTTAATGGTCCAGTCAAATGCTTTCTCCCTTGAATATTCTCCCTATGTTCTCAGTGAAGGAAGATGCACAAATATGAAAGCTTCTTTCTCAATTTAGGTAATTTATTTAAGGATAAAATTGTGATAATTATCTAGTTAACAAATTCAATAAGTTGACTCCATTGGCCGATACAATTCCATTGATGTTGTCTAATTATAAGCCCAATTAGATTAGGTAACATTTGTTTAATTTAAAGGAAAAGATATAAATATTTCTAAGTAGGTTCAATTTACCTAATAGCGAATTATAACATTATGAGCTTACCATAATATAACTATAATCTATATGTCACGTTAATTAGGTATAAGCATATCATAATGAGCTTTAATTGATGTCAATCGTTTAGGGTGTCCAAAGTACATTTCACTGCAAAAACATGGTTAGTCACAACAACAATAAATTTTAATGATTCAATAGTCAGTGTAACATAAATGCAACTAATCGAGATAGGCATGATAATTACAAGAAATAAGAACATGACATTACAGTTCTACTTATTGTGAGTTTTCCAACACTACGAATAAGTAACTAATAATATGGCATTCAAGTATTCAAAAATAGAATAATCATGCATATTTAATCAAGAACACAAGAATTGAATAAAATACTTAATCTTTGAATTAAAACGACAATCAACAGTTTTTATAATTTTAATGTATTAGAACTTTAGCCTAGCACCATTATAT